TATTTGTTTGATTTAATAGAAATTATATTTAAAATGTTGTGGTATTTTGTATTATTTTAATAGACATTGTTATTAACCTGTTAATCCATCCATTTGCTTTAAGACGAATTATTTTTATATTATTGTGGAGCTATCAATTTGTTAAAACTGAAACTCTTTTAAAATATTGTATTTTAACTATGCATTATTTAAATTGAAATTAATTTAACTTGTGAAATTATTTGTTTTGAAACAATGTATTATTTTAATATAAGTTCTTAGTGTATGTTTAAATTATGTATTTGTTTTGTTAGAAATTCTTATTATATTGTAGTAAAAGTATGTTTTTATTTTAATAGTAATTCAAATAAAATGTTGAAACTTTAATAAGCAAAATTGTTATTTTTGTTTGAATATTATTTAAGAAGTTTGTATTAACTTATGACACTCTCTGTTTGCCTTCCAAGAAATAATTATATTTTTGTACAACCCTCTATTTCTAAAACAGAACTTCTTATAATTGTGTGCAATTATTTGGTTAATTAATTTGTTTATACTTTTAAAACTATGTAGTATTTATCCTGTTAAGTTGTGTTTTTTTTTTCTCCATTTCTTGTCAACCTATATTATTTCCTTTATTGTCTCATTTATTTTCATATATTATGCCTCATTGATTTTTATATTTTTTAAGAATGTATCACCAAAAATGTTTTTGTTTTTTTTAAATGTCAGTAAAATTAAATGAAAAAAGAAAATGTTTAATTGCTATGTCCAAACAAAAGGATGGCAGAAGTCAATGATAGATATTTGAGGCTTCAGCCAAACCCTTTTTGTTTAAAAAAATAAAATAAAAAAGAATGAAAAAAAAAAAAGAATGAAAAAAAAAATGAAATTAAAAATGATTGTTTCAAAAAATGTATTGTTTTGATAGAAATTGTAATTAACTTTTGAAACTATCTATTTGCTGTAATATTAATTCTTATATCATTGCTGGCTATGCCCTTTTTGAACAGAAATTCTGATATTATTGTTAAATTATTTGTTTGATTTAATAGAAATTATATTTAAAATGTTGTGGTATTTTGTATTATTTTAATAGACATTGTTATTAACCTGTTAATCCATCCATTTGCTTTAAGACGAATTATTTTTATATTATTGTGGAGCTATCAATTTGTTAAAACTGAAACTCTTTTAAAATATTGTATTTTAACTATGCATTATTTAAATTGAAATTAATTTAACTTGTGAAATTATTTGTTTTGAAACAATGTATTATTTTAATATAAGTTCTTAGTGTATGTTTAAATTATGTATTTGTTTTGTTAGAAATTCTTATTATATTGTAGTAAAAGTATGTTTTTATTTTAATAGTAATTCAAATAAAATGTTGAAACTTTAATAAGCAAAATTGTTATTTTTGTTTGAATATTATTTAAGAAGTTTGTATTAACTTATGACACTCTCTGTTTGCCTTCCAAGAAATAATTATATTTTTGTACAACCCTCTATTTCTAAAACAGAACTTCTTATAATTGTGTGCAATTATTTGGTTAATTAATTTGTTTATACTTTTAAAACTATGTAGTATTTATCCTGTTAAGTTGTGTTTTTTTTTTCTCCATTTCTTGTCAACCTATATTATTTCCTTTATTGTCTCATTTATTTTCATATATTATGCCTCATTGATTTTTATATTTTTTAAGAATGTATCACCAAAAATGTTTTTGTTTTTTTTAAATGTCAGTAAAATTAAATGAAAAAAGAAAATGTTTAATTGCTATGTCCAAACAAAAGGATGGCAGAAGTCAATGATAGATATTTGAGGCTTCAGCCAAACCCTTTTTGTTTAAAAAAATAAAATAAAAAAGAATGAAAAAAAAAAAAGAATGAAAAAAAAAATGAAATTAAAAATGATTGTTTCAAAAAATGTATTGTTTTGATAGAAATTGTAATTAACTTTTGAAACTATCTATTTGCTGTAATATTAATTCTTATATCATTGCTGGCTATGCCCTTTTTTTATAGAAATTCTGATATTATTGTAAAATTATTCTTTTGATTTAATATAAATTATATTTAAAATGTTGTAGTATTTTGTATTATTTTAATAGACATTTTTATTAACCTGTTAATCCATCCATTTGCTTTAAGACGAATTATTTTTATATTATTGTGGAGCTATCAATTTGTTAAAACTGAAACTCTTTTAAAATATTGTATTTTAACTATGCATTATTTAAATTGAAATTAATTTAACTTGTGAAATTATTTGTTTTGAAACAATGTATTATTTTAATATAAGTTCTTAGTGTATGTTTAAATTATGTATTTGTTTTGTTAGAAATTCTTATTATATTGTAGTAAAAGTATGTTTTTATTTTAATAGTAATTCAAATAAAATGTTGAAACTTTAATAAGCAAAATTGTTATTTTTGTTTGAATATTATTTAAGAAGTTTGTATTAACTTATGACACTCTCTGTTTGCCTTCCAAGAAATAATTATATTTTTGTACAACCCTCTATTTCTAAAACAGAACTTCTTATAATTGTGTGCAATTATTTGGTTAATTAATTTGTTTATACTTTTAAAACTATGTAGTATTTATCCTGTTAAGTTGTGTTTTTTTTT